GTGGCCACTGCGCTGTCTTACATTGACATGCTAATCTCTCACAATACAATGGCCACCCCCCACATTGGCATTATCTGCCCCGCCCATCTCTAAACCTTTATAAACGGCCTGCCTTGGCAGATTTCCCCCTCTTTTTTCACCTGAAGACGATTGCTTGTTTTGCGATCTAAACGTAGTGATATTGTTATTATTTTGATTCTTTTTTTCTATCTACGTGGCTTTACCGAAAGACCCAAAGAATATACATCACAATTGTTCAGCACCATAAAAAGCAACAGACTAATCGCCCGTGCCATCTGGCTGGTAACGTGACACACAACATTTATCAAATTACCTCCAGCATGATAAACCATCTCTGATTACAACTTGGTTCGTGCAAATCTATTTATAGTTATAAAGCAAGCCTCGTAACGTTGCGTTGCTCTTCGTAAGGAAATGAGAGTCTGAGAGTGCCGTATTAAAGGAGTGTGTTGGGCGTTGTGTTGAATGCAGCACGTGAGTGTGCATGACTAGTATTTGATAAGTGTGGAAGGTGTGTCGAGCGTGTTTTCTATTAAAGTCGTCGTATGGACGAGATTCGTTATCGTGACCCACCCTTCACAAACATGCTCTGACCAATGTGCTGAATTAAGGTCAAACGGCTAGGGGAGACCTTCATCCAGCAGTGAATTGATTATGGGCTGTAGTTAACTCATTACAAATGATAACATGACCCGGCCAAACACATACCCTTAAGCGGAAGCCCACACCCTTAAGCGGAAGCCCACTAGTGGGGCTCGCACCAGGGCTTTCAGGTATTTGAGCTTCTCGTGCAATCTCATCTGGATGAAACCTAGATGAGTGTATTCATCGTGCAGAAGGCTCACCCACAGGAGTTAAAGGGACAGACCCAGGTGCTAGGAGCCTTATCCGTAGGCGTTGTTTCTACAAAACATGCTGAACGTACGAAATAATTGAACTCATCTCAGGACTTTGAAGCTGTGTGTTTGAACTGTGCGAACATGTTCTCACTTGCAAAACGTGGACCCCACTTCCAAGAGAAAACTACGTATGACCCACACCTTTGAAGCCAAAACGTTAATACTGTACCATCCAGAAGCTCACCTGGTTAATCTGTGTGAGAATCACACATACACAGACCAAGATGCTGCTTTGAGTCTGGGGGGAGGTGCTATTGATGAGCACTTGTTGAGACGACTCGCAGCATACAAGGGGGTGGTGATATTGACCGCACTGTTCCATGTACTTGGACTCAGTTGACCCCGGGAAGTTTAAATAACACCCGTTTCATAATATATTTTTTACTAATAATAATTCTCACCTTGTTACTTTACAATGTATTTCATTAATATGAAGCTGTGCCACATGCCTCACTGCTCAACATCTTGCAGCAGTGAATACATATTTTATTTTATTTCTACCTATGTGACTTTACCGAAAGAACCAAAGAGTAGAGCTATTGATGTCCTATTTTTGCTTGTATTCACTGCTGCAAGATGTTGAGCAGTGAGGCATGTGGCACAGCTTCATATTAATGAAATACATTGTAAAGTAACAAGGTGAGAATTATCATTCGTAAAAAATATATTATAAAATATTTCTACCTACGTGACTTTACCGAAAGAACCATGGAGTATGGATTCCTGCAGTCACGAAAGCTTCAAATAAAGATCAATAGCTCTGTAAGCTATTGTGTCTCTGTAAACTATTGTGTCTCTGTAAGCTATTGTATCTCTGTAAGCTTTTGTATCTCATATTCTTGGTTCTTTCGGTAAAGTCACATAGAAGGGAAACAATAATTAAAATATAAAACAATAAAATTATCACGACGTTTTGACTGCAACACAAGCAATCATCATCAGGTGTGAAAACCACAGCAAGAAAATATGAAAAAAGTGGCGGTTTTTTTACATCACGGAGAGCGATTAGGCAGTTATTCAGGTGGACGAGTCCATCTATGTTCGGAAAAGAGGAGGGGGGATACGAAAATAATGGATGCGGTCTGAAAGCCACCGTAAGCGTGAACAATCAATTAAAACCCGAAATGGTTTATCAAATCCTTCCAATGATTGCTAAGCCAGAATCCATCTTCTCGGTTGAAATTGTCTCTGTGTTTGTATATGTGGATAGCCTCATGAACGAATCTCTCATGGTAGCCAGATGGCTTGCAGAGAACCTCTGTCTTGGAGAAGTCAATGTCATGTGAGCCACTGAATTATAACAGTGATCTGCCACGGCCGAGGTGTTGGTCCTATTGTATATCTGTAAGCTATTGCAGCTCTGTTAGCTATTGTGCTAATTAATGCAATAGCTCAACACGTCAAGTTATTTCGATTCGCAAACAAGTGTGGGGCAGTGCCCATTTCTGTTGGAGGTCCTAAAACAGTGGTAGAAATTAACATTCTTTGATGGAGGTTCAAGTCTCTCCAAAGGACAACTGGTGTTGACTTAACACGTAGGTTTTCGCGACCAGTATCCATAATATAGGTTTTTTTTTTATGTTAGATCGCGTAAATATAAATGTATTATTAAACCCGCCAACACCCGACACAGCCATTTAGTAAGGTTTGTCATTGTGCAAGCATAATGTATATTGATAACCATATGAATAACCCAACCAGCAATGGATACCCATTGTCATTTATATGCATTCATTATCCCCCCCCCCTTCGCACAAGAAGGCCTCAAGTGACGTCATCACATCTACTCTATTTAAGGAACGAAAACGAGGATTTTTCCACAAATATGGCTGTCGCCTGATAAAGCGAGTTGTAATTACTGGTGAAACGTCCTACTCAGATTGTAAATGTTGTGGATTTGCTCTCCAACACACCAGTGTGCTGTACTAGTAACGAATTGGCATATTCTATTTACGTGACAAACCTTACTAATTGGTTGTGTCGGATGGTGGCGGGATTAACGACACATTCATATTTATGCGATCTAACCCCCAAAAAAAACTATATTATGGATGGTGTTGACTTGAAGCAAATTGACTACTGTTTTGGCAAACTCATAGGCATCACTATCTTAGTTGACTTGTGACCAATATTTGACATGCCACCTTCCAATTCTTAAGTTTAGCAGTCTGAATCATGACTTAAAGCTTTGGTGACTCCAGGAATTCATACTGTTTGGGTCTTTCGGTAAAGTCACGTAGATAGAAAAAAAATAAAAAAAATCACGACGTTTCGATCGCAACACAAGCAATCGTCTTCTGGTGCAAAAATTAGCAGTCTGCCACAGCACCGCCTAGTTGATTGACTGATTTGTTCGTGAAAATTAAATAGCAGAAGTGAAAATTAAACGTCAGAAGTGCATGCCAATATGCCATATGCCAGCTAAATATGGTTGTAGAACAGCGGGGTGTGAAGCACTTTGTAAACGTAAAATGTATTATCCTGCCAACAAAAACCTGTGGATCTTCTTAATGGAGGTGAATGATTAAGAGATGTGTGTGTGTGTCTTGGGTTTTAGCAAAATGTTTGAAGACGTCTCTACAAAGGCATTTTCACGGACAAATTGAACTAATTGCAGGACTTGGCCAGCAGGGAACATGCTCTGGATGGTTTTCAAAGGGAAATTGAGCCGTGTGCCAATTAGCATGCACACACCAGGGCTTTGACTGTCACTTGTCTACAACGTACATCCGTGAGCTTTGTGAGAAGCATTTCAAAGGGAGTTTCAGCTGCATGTCAAGCTTATACCGGCATCCTGCAAAGTCACACCGTCTCCCTGCTCAAACCTGCATCTGGCAGTGCTCGTCTTCATTGGTGGCCCGTAGCCAACGGGAATGAATTCCACATTTTAATGGCAGGGACAATTCTCTCTACAGCACAACCAATGTTAACTTTCCACACAGTGGTACTTATTTTATCTACTGCAGAGGAAAATATTGGTTGAGCTCCTGATCTCCAACATTTGTGAGCCAAGTACCCTGCCAGTGCCGCCGCCTGGCTGAAAACCTGGGTTTTGTTGGTGGTAATTAAATGTTAAATTATAACCACGTGTGTGGTTGTATATGTCTTCAACAGTGTATAAACCGTTGTTTGTATCTGCACAGTTATATCGGGTTTTTTTCCTATTCCAGGATGTCTTGCGACAGCAGAGCTATGCATCACGGGTTGTACTTGAGCTGGTGCAGCTTAATTCTGCTTGGGTTTAGTTGCAGGCAACCACCCTCAATTAAAACAGGTACCCAAGTATAGTCAGTTGATGGTCTCCACCTGGTCATCCATTCTGCCTGGCATTGCACTGAAGACTAAAATATACTATTATGACTTTTTTCACCTTGAGAGCGTATAGGAATGCCTTGTAGTATTGAGTAAGGCATACTGAATTTAATTCGGTACAGGCGTGTCTCACTTAACGAAGCCGCGTTATAATAGACATGTTTCACGTTGTGCGAAAAGTGTTCTCGAGTGGAAGAACCGTGTTATAGCGAAAATGCGTTACGAGGACTTACCATGTAGGACTACTACTGTTGACTTCCCAAAAAATGTTACATTGGTCCAGGAGGAATGAGGTGCCTCTTTGGTCCCCAGCCCTGGTTATAAATTGTAGCCTTCCATTTGTGAACTAGGTGCTATATTCTCACAGCCGGCCTGCTTGACTCTACATGCCCACTTCACTACTGGCATACGAGTCTGCACTCGAGGAAGCTCCAGAGAGCCATTCTAGAGAATATTTTGGCCTACTCTTACATGCTGGCCATATGTCTGGGTTTACCCATACTTCACCCCACGACACACAACCTTGCCGATCAGCCTAACCGTGGCATGTACCAATTTATGCCAAAAAGAACTCCTCCGGCTATCACAGTTGGCTATGTACGGTGTGAAAGAAATTCAACATAGATACTGCTGGGAGACCCAATCGAACCAGCAAGTCCAGTGTGCAAGCCGTTACGCCAAGGCAGTGTCGCTGGAAAAATGGGCAAATAGAAAGAACCTTGACTGTTATTTCCTCCCCCACTCTCCGCCGCCGCCCCCTAACCCCAGACAAACACAGGAGGAAGGCGCGGAAGAAGATCTCGCGCTCCAACGCACGCAGCTACACGGAGGGCTGGGTGGAGTTCGTGGACAAGAGAAAAGCCAAGCTCGCGGCCATCATGCTTAACAACAACCGCATCACGACGCGCAAGCGCAGCCGCTTCTACGACGACCTGTGGAGCCTTAAGGTGGCGATCGCTGTAACGAGACGCGGGTAGAGTGGGAGCCATTGCAAGGGGGGGAAATAGGAAGGGTCCCAGATAGTGCTTGATATGTGATGGGTCGTACAAAAGCCTGATATGAGTGGTTACTATAAGGGGTGATGTGTAGTTGAAGGCAGTCCCGGAATGAAACCTGTTCGTCCTGCAGGCCATGTTCATGGCCCTTCCTGTCTGCGGAGATGTATAGGAGAATAGGAACCGTTCTGAACAGTGCTGGTGTATACGTTTGGTGGTCCGAGAAGTGCCCAAATAGCGTACCGTCATATACTGGCACGTTTAGACCACTGTTTGAAGGTAAATTGATTTCAAGGATTACCAAAAGTCATGCGACAGATTTTTATTGCAGCAGTTGAACTCCCTTGCTTGTTAACTGACACGTTTCAATCTGAAAAACCCAGAAATTTGTAGGAAGCTATTCTTACCATACTTGACTCCCGTTGACTTCCACATTTTTTCAATACTGAATCAATTGTGGCTTGTGCAGATTTTTAGTTACAATGAAGTGCTGTGTTTTGTGTGAGTGGATTTGGGAGCAAAGTTAATTATTTAAGTTGTTATTAAAGGGGTGCGACGGTGGTGAGATGTTAACTAATTTGCCTGGTATACAGGAGGTCGTGTGTTCGATCCCAACCCTGACACCTGCTGTCTATTTTAAGTTTGCATGTTCTTCCCATGGTCGGGTGGATTTTTGTCCGGGTTCTCCGTTTTTTTCCCTCCACATTGGCAAACATACTGTTAGAGTATTAGCCTGCTATACATTTCCATGTTAAAGGCCACTTCATTGAGCTATCATTTGTGGCAAGTCTCTATATAGCTCAGTGGGCCTGACCGGGTAAAATAAATTAGTTCGGATTAATAATGGTTTAAATCGTTATTTTTAGAATGAATGAAAGCCTTTGGACAATCAGAGTGCAAGTGCATTGCACTGTATAAAATAATATAAATGTGTCAAGTTATGTCATTGCTCTCTTTGTTGTGCCGCTACAATTATTGGTTACTTGTGGCACAGGCAGAGCATGGGGAAACGAGACAAGACTTTAGCGAAACAGCCACTGCCTGGGAACAATGGAACACATCACGGGGCATTCTGAGACAGCACTCAAGGGTGTAGATGATGGCAGTGGGAAGTAGGCAGGGACAGGAACACTGTCGAAGGAGACACTGCAGGTGGTATGAGGGACACGACAGACAAGAATGGCTATACTGCAGTTAATTCCAGGGAAACTACAGAGGTACATTTCTGCAGTACTGAGGGATGGTGGGATGCTGGTGGCGGTAGCAGATGGAGGGAGGTGTGGACAGGAACAATAGCAGGAATAGGTTGTGCCATACGTGCGGAGCAGGTGCATAAATTGCAGAGGGAGATACAGACAGGACACGGATAAACTAGGACAACACTGAGAGACGTAGCAATGTAGATTCTAGCAGTGGGAAGTGGGTGGGTACAGGAACACTATGAAGAGACTGGGACACATTGGTGGCAGAGGAAGACGATGAAGGGGGAAGCAGAGGCTTTTTAAAGAGGGATTACATAACTGAATGCACGAGAGGGAACATTACATTGGGAGATGGACGCTAGGGGGAGACGACTGCAGGAGGAGACAGGGACACTGCAACACAGCTGAAGGTTGAGAGGGAGAGAAGTCTGCATGGAGAGCAATGAAGCATTAAGAGATAGCAACACTACAGGGGAAGCAGACAGTAATGATCGAGATAAGTACGAGGGGGGATGCTGTGAATCTAGAGACACTTTAGGAGGACATCAGGACACAGGGACAATGCATGGGAAAATAGAAGACAGGGACACCGCATCCAGAGAAACAGAGAAACTGCATGCAGAGATGAGACACAATTGGACATGGAGACCCTGTCAAGGGGGGGTCTGGGACACCACCAGGGGTCGCGGTGGCAAGGCATCATATACACAAACGCGCCACCCCACGTCAAGCCCCGCCTGCTCTCTCCACATCACCCGTTTTTGAGTTTTTATTTTTCTAGATTAAAAGCTAATTTATATTGAATTGCTTTTTTGTGTTTAGCTAGCACGGTTGACTACGTACGTTACGAAATAAGTTTAACATACATACCCTCTCTCTCTCATCTCGCCCGCAGTATCTGCACCGCTTCCGTTGGGCGCACCTGAGCGAGCGGCTGGCATACGAGCGCACGGTGCGCAACCAGCGGCTGCGCACGGAGATCGCGCAGGCCAAGAAGGAGACGGGCTTCTATGTCGCCAACGTGGAGCGCAGCGCCACGCTCGGGCGCCTAGCCGAGCGACGCAAGAAGCAGGCCGCCACCGCCGCCGCTCGAGACGGTGGGGCAACCGAGGGGCAGGCCGCGGGGGAGGCTGAGGAGGAACCCATGTGGGGCTTCCGGCAGCGCAGGACGGAGGGGGAGATCCAGGAGCAGAAGAAAAAGAGGGCGGCCGTGGCTGCGACGGCCTCCTCCAAGAAGGTCCAACGCTCCAAGCAGAAAGCGAGCAGAATCGCGCAGGAGAGCAAGTCCAACCGCGAGCTTCTCGCCAAGATCTTTCAGGGCTCGGCCGATGGGCAGAGCTGAGCCCATGGCTGAAAAGCAGAACTCTTCGTTTAAGTTGTGTGTTTTCAATTTGCCAGTTACATTTTCGAATAAATGAGCATTTTAGTACAATGTGTGAACCCATTGTTTCGTCGCTGTCTCATTTGAAATATCGTCATTCACACCTACGCCATAACGTTAGTTTTCTTTTGTCTGCCGTATTATTCTACCTGTTAATTCCCTCTAAAAGGATAAAAGAAACAACGTAGATCGTATGAAACAACTTTTGTATCAACCAGTAAAAATGTACTATTGGAAATGAACTTAACTGATTAGGCCGCACAGTTGGGCTCAAAATTATTGTTGGAGGGATACGACTGGAAAATGCAATAGAACGTCCTGTGCCATGGTGAGTACAAGGTGTTAGTATACTTACGTTAAACCTGGTTGTCGTAATTCATCACCAGTATACACTCCAATTCGGTGACCTTTAAAATCTGTCCTGTGTCGGGCACTTAAGGAACAACTCATTAAAAATTCTTGCCAGCGTGGAACTTTTCCCCCTCCCCCCGTCTCTGGGGTAAGCCCCTCAACCCTAACCTTAATGGGACCATAATACGGGGCAGTGATGTGGGCCATTTGTTTGTGAGAATTTTGCAGTTTGAATCTGACGACCCGCCCTGCTTAATATAGCAGGTGTTCTAGATTTGAAGTTTTCGTGACTGCAAGGATTCATACTCTAAATTTAGTTGTTTTTCATTTATTTTATATTTTTTTACCTACGTGACTTTACCGAAAAAAACAGAGTATTGCAGGTGTATTCACCATGCACTACATAGTGGACGTGAATGAATCTGGCGGTGATGTCATTCGAACAATTGGACTACTGCGCCTGCGTCATGGTGCAAATTTGCCAAGAATGTTCTCGTTTGTAATTTGGGTTCTGAAAAATCCCACGCTGTAGACAACTTCTTGAGAAATATGTCACAAAGTCTTTATCGACCACTTTACAGTGATCGACTGCGTATTGATAATTTAGCTGCAGACTTTACCAAGAAAACGTATCGCCGTGACACATTAGTCTTGTAAAAAAAAAACCTCGCTTTAATCAATTTTTTTTATTAAATTTCTATATTTGAGATATTTACTATCTGTCCCAATTATATAGATACGCATGATGTGACGGCTGTTAATCTAAATACGATTCTGTGCTTTTCAAGCTAGTACTGTATAGCTGGCAGGTGTAAAAGCCATTGATGTACATTGATCCGACTGGCGTAGCACAGAGTTGATGGGCCGCTTGGCTTGTAAAAACCGCGTGCATACAAAATTGCAAGTTTAAAAAAATAATTAAATATATTTGCCCCCTTTTATCTGCATATCCTTTTAAGATATTGTCCGCTCGTGCAATATGTTACCGAGTAATTTCGTGAAATGTGCAGGGTTATCCAAATGGTGTGGGCTTAATGACACATTCATTACATCGTATCGATTTGTGGCATTGATCCAAGCTCAGACCATCTGCTCTGAGCACATTTAAGCTTCGTCCATTGGGGATGTGTGTCCATCATTGTGAAACTTCTCAGTATAGAGCACGGCTAAACAATTCTCATTGGAGTTGGCTAGGTAGCTCGAGGGGCTGTTTCTCACATCACAGCAGTGAGCCTGGGTTTCAAGTCACTGGACAGCCGAGATAAAAGGCTCTCGGTTGTCTTGAATTGATGGTCTCGGCACAGCAACCAACAGCAAGCCAAGTGAGTTTTCTCAGCATATAGGCAGAGAGAAAACGAGTTGCTCATTTACACATCTAAAGAATTCAAAGACGTGGTTGAATAAAATAGATCCTTAAAGAACACCGTGGTAAAGAATTCCGGTGTCGTGGTCCAATTAAGTTTTATCCTCTCAGACCAATTCAAGGCAAGTTTGTTCCAATCTAAACGTCTTTCATATAACCCTTCATTTTTGTTTAGTTTTAGATTTAAACATAATTTTACATTATTGTATTTGTTAAACTCTACCCCCTTCACTATTAGCGTGAGGCCCAAATCACGGCCTTTGCCCTAATTTGCCCACATCACCGTTTTACATGTCACGTTGCTGTAAATCTAACATATAAAAGGCATTTTTGTCTGTCCGTCTGCGTACGCTCGCTTGCGGGAGATTTGGCTCTCGGACCGCGGGGTTCGCGTAGAAAATTTTTTGCCGGGCGACACGCCCCGGGCCCCGCGGTGGGAATAGACTATTTCGTTTTCCCATCCCTAAACTTGAAAGTGGTTTATTTAACGATTTAGTGCGATTCCTATTTATTTATTTATTTGCTGACCGGATCGCTGCTGCGCATGCGCGAAACGCCGACACGAGTTGCCCCTGGCAACGCACAGACACGAGTTGCCCCTGGCAACGCACAGACGCCGGAGGGTGGGGGCCATTTCTCATTCGCGTTCAAAATGCAAAAAAATTACACGCTACGCTGAGGTAAATTCATCAAAGTGTCACGTCCTCTTCTCTCCCCCTCCACCCCAATGTGTGCACTTGCTATTATAGGGTCGGTAGTAACTAAAATTATAGCCATTAAATAGTATTTCATTTTGGTACTGGCAAAGGAGATCTAATGATGTAGATGCTCACCCCGAGCCCTCATTGCTTTGATAGTGCATTGTCTTTGAGCTGTGTGACGCCTTTTGGCGTCATCTGGTCGAGCACCAATGGGGTCGAGGCTCGAAAGAAAGCCGTCCCTTGGTGTGGACCAATCAGTTTCAAGGACAATGCCAATATATTATCATAGTATGGTTTTTGTTTGCATTTTGACTGCAGGTATTGTGGTTAATGCAGACATGAATCCTTGTAAGAACGTTTCAGTTTTGTTGACAGAGAAAAGGGAAAAAACCCTATTATTACTATAGAGTTAGTTGTTACTACTATCGAGTCGGTAGATACTGCTATAGGGCCAGTAGATACTACTTCGGTCAGTAGTTACTACAGTCAGTAAATACTATTGAACAGTCAGTAGATACTACTGTACAGTCAGTAGATACTACTACAGAGGCAAGAGATACTACTTACTCTGTTGTATGTAGGTATATATACCTACGTGAGGGTAAATATATTTTTTGAGGGGGGGGGGGGTCGACAATTTTCGGAAACCTTTTAGATCAACTATTTACCCCCCACTTTCTATAGCTTTTTGGACTTGTGCAAGCCTCTTATAATTTTGTTGGTGGAGAAATGGACAAACGGCCCACCGTGCTTTCACAATACCTTAGTATCTGTGTATGTATATGTTAGGTTTTTAATAGAAGTTTTAAAATATATTTTTTACCCAGGCAACGCCGGGTACTTACCAAGCTAGTGTCTTATAAATCCTTTGCAAAGCAATACGGTCACCTCGAGTTATTCTCAAAGTTACATTTTTCAGAATGAATCCCTTATGCTGGGTAAAATCTGCAAACCACAACAGACGCGGGAGCAGTTCCATCAGGATTACGTGGCTAAGACAGCGGCCCTGAAATCTGTTACTTCATCTTGCCCCAAAAGAAGATTGATTCCATCGCGGCCGCGATTGAGAAGCACTCCGCGGAGATCGTGGAACTTCATGAAATGATTGATTGTGGAGATTCAATAAGGCTCTGGAGAGATGCCCTGGAAGCTGCTGACGAAGCTGTCAATGGACTGGATTTAAGTCGTGCAAGGTCCAACGTATATCATCAAAAGCCACATCGTGGCTATTTCAGATATTTATCCTGGAGGAATCCGATGAGCTATGAAGCTCTTTTTCACAGATATCCAGTCGACTTGTCCTTTTCCATCATTACGTGTCATCACATGATAGAAATACCTCTATTTCGGCACACGAAGATGCCACGATTATTGTAGTCAATTTGTTTTCCATAGAGCTTCCTTTATGTCCGGAGCAACTCAAGAGTGCTTTTACATGCAACCGTGCAGAGAACTGGATGAAGCCCCCCTTTGCTACTTTTTGAGAACATCTCCGGATGACGAATCGCCAAAATTTAGATCGATGACAAACCGTCCCACAAACTCGGCTCCGCACGCTGGTGTAGCCGGTGTGAGCGTATAATTGTGCGCTCCGTAGTCTATGGGAACCGAATAAATAAGTTTTGCACAGCTACGGGTAACTAAGTGCGTTGTTTTTTTTATTGTAAGTCTGAGTTAATGCAATGGTGATCAGAGATTGGACCCGAGCCCCCCACAACAGAGTAAGAGGCACGTCCCAGATTGAGATTTGGGCGGACTTTGGTGCCTGCGGAATACAGCTGCGGTGTTGTGACGTGGAGGGTGTCTCTAATCGCTATCGTTGAGACGCAATTTGCCCCTCCTGAAGAAGACTTTTGAATCTTGATTTGAAGCTTTCGTGACTGCAGGAATCCATACGCTTTGGTTCTTTCGGTAAAGTCACGTAGGTATAAAATAAAAAAATAAATCACGACGTTTCGGGCCCAACACAAGCGTCCGTCATCAGGTGGGAAAGCATGCTTTCCCACCTGATGACGGACGCTTGTGTTGTGCCCGAAACGTCGTGATTTATTTTTTTATTTTATACCTACGTGACTTTACCGAAATAAAGTTTCGCCGTTTCACACACCCCCAGTGCACAGTGCGTGCGGAATGGTGGGAGGGGGGACACACAATTGACCAAAAAAAGACCTTAATCGACTACCACCGAGAATGGCTTCCCGTGCTCCTGTTGTGGAGTCGCCCCCTTCTCCGGAGGACAGAAGACAACGCAGAGTCTCCACTCATCGTCGTTGTGGTTCCCCCCACCTCCTCGAAAGTATTCATGAGGAGAGGGACAGGGCGGACGGGCTACACCCGCTTCTCCACGGTGTCCTCCGTGGGCCGCGTACACCACGCGGCCAGCGTCGAGTCGCAACGCCCGGTAACGAAAGCCTCCCGCCCCTGCCCCCCGGGGCATGCAGCCGTGGCGGCATCTCTCAGAATCATCGCCCACACCGCGGCTCCTCGCTCGTGTAGTCGAGCAACCCCCCGCATCGACGAAGGGAATGCGACCGGGCGACGTCGAACACCCCCGGACTGCCGATTCACGGTGATCGCGAACTGCCCCTCCCGTTATTCGTCTGCAATCCCATCCCCAGCGTCGTGGTCAGTGACTCAAAACGCTGAGCGCAGTGTGAACGGAGCGGTGGGGTGACACACAAGTGAGCAAGGCCGTAGCCATGGAGTCAACATTGGGGGGCACCAAATCTTCCAGGGGGTCTGGGAGTCCCCCCCCCCAGAAAAAATCTAAATTTTAAAACTAATTTCCTGCCTAAAATATAAAAAAAATTAACTAACATAGGATGGACTTTTTATTTTATTTTTGACAATGTCTAATAGTGTATTGTATTACATTGCTGTTTTTTTCTTTTTTACATTTTCTTGTTTCATTGTATGTAATGGCAGGGATTAGGGATTAATAAAGTACAACCATAACCACAATAATATAAACAGAAATCTATTTTATTTTATAGCAATATATGTGTGGGGGGACATTTTGTGCATATTTGAATATTGGGGGGGATGTGTCCCCCCTAATAAATATTATAATTACGGCCTTGCAAGTGAGCAACAAAGACCTCATGATCTATGCCCCACCGAACGCCTTGCTGGCTTCCCCGCTTCCCCGCACGCAAACCGTGGACCACAGTAAATCGTCGAAATTCGGATATCGCGCAGGCGATTCACTCATCGACACGAGTAGGGAGGGGGGGTAAAAGAGAGCCTCCACCTGTGAGAGTATAGCAGAGCTATTCAGCACGTGGTCAACAACTGCCCATCAAAACCAAAGCGATTCATCAGCTTATAGCCAACCCCATTTAATGACTCAAGAACCCCAGACATTAAGTTGTAACATCTGAATTAGAATACGTATTTATACAGGAGAAATCCGATGAGCTATAAAGCGTTTTTTTCAACAGATGTCCAGTAGGGGCAGGTCAGAACCTTACAACATCAAACAATACATAAACACGACAATTACGCAAAGTATAGGCAAGGTAAAGAAATCATTTTACGTATAGCTCATCGGATTCCTCCTGTAAATAAATATTCCCATTCTGATTCTTCCCAGGAGTGTTGGGCATAGCCCTGCTGGTCCAAGTAATTTATCAGCACGATGGCACAGGTGTGCAAATGCATCTGAATACCATCCCAGCAAACATGCCAACGTTGGGCCAACGTTGGTATGAGGTTAAAACTGTTGGCCAACTTTGGCCCAACGGTTCCATATTTACTGCGATGTTACTCCTCCAATTGATATTTACAGTGTGTTTACGTATTTATGGACTCTAGTTCAATCATGAGACGTGACAATAGCTGTTTCCTTTTAACCTTTCCTACCCCGGTTCGGTATT